GCAGTTCAAACCCACCAGCTGCTCCTCAGAAACCCTATACATGGTTGCTATGAGTTGGAACCATTCAACAGCACTTTAAGAACCACAACCTAGGAGTAATTTTCTTCAGGAATCACGTGAGGACAAATGTAACCACTAGAGGGCAACATCTGCACATTTCAGTCCTTGGCTCTGCCTAGGGACTAGATTTTGAAGGGTTTCTATCAGGCCGTTTCGCACTTTTATTTTCACAGTCACTATTAGAAGAAGGCTGTGTTTTCCCCCCATTTTATTCGTGAGGAAACAGCTGGAATTTGAAAAACAAATCTTGGTGATCCCCCATTTGGGAGTTGCACTTCTGCATCTACCCTTACCCCTTAACACCTCCTGTAGCCTCCTCTCCTGCTTTCATCTGTTCACTCGGAGTCAAGGTGCAGCTCCATCCACCTCTTGCCCTCCGCCATGCCACTCCAGGACATGGAGGGTTGGAGGAGAATGGAGGACCTGGAAATGTCATCTAAGCTTCTTGTTTCAAGCTCAAGAAACTGAGGCTCCTAGGAAAAAAGTGACTTTCCCAAACTAGCCTGGCAGTCAGTGTTTCAGCTTACGCCTATGCACTGAGGGGGCCTCTCTCCAGCGTCTCCCCCATCCCTACCTTAATTTCCTGCTATGAAGTGCCTCCGCCTCAGTGAAGGCTTTGGTCTCTCTCACATAGAGTTCAATACTGCCCTAGATAGACCCTGCCCAGAAATGCAGGATTTTATAGAGACTCTTGGAATTCCTAGGTGGTGCAAATAGTCAACACCTACTAACCCAAAAGGTGGAGCTGTGAATTCACCTAGAGGCACCTTGGCAGAAAGACCTAGTGTGCTACTTGTAAAAAAAAAAAAAAACCACTCATTGAATCTCCTATGGAACACACAGTTCTCTGACACACATGGGGACACTGTGAGTCCCATTATCTTCAGGGCAAATGGTAGGCAGAGGTATTCTTAGCCAACCTAGAATCAACATAACCCCCAGGGGTCCAAAAATCCTAACCGCCCAGGCAAAAGGTGAATGTTTAGTTTCCACTCTCAGATAACCCCCATGAGCATATTTTATTATTCCATCATGCATTCAGTAATTCATGCACGATTTCCTTACTGCCTATGTGTGCGGCATTCTGCTAAGCACCACTGAATTCCCGCCTTCCAGCGCTTAGTCTGATGGGGGAGATGATCTAAGAAGGAGCAATGGCAGCAGCCTGCATCTGATCCAGAAGCAAACAGGTAGCACCGAGCTAGTCTGTCCCTCTGCCTGAAATACTTATCTAACTCCTTGTCTCTCAGATCTTGGCTCTAATGTTATCTCCTGGAGACTTTCCTATTTCCCCCTCCCCCTCAATCTACATTCATTCTCAGCCCTCAGTCACTCCCCAGCACATCTTCATTTTTCTTTTTCTGTTCATTTCTTCCTGGCATGTATCGGCATCTGAAGTTACCTTGTTCATTCACTGCCTGTCTACCCTCTTTCCTCCGCTGTCGTGGACACTCTTGGAGGGCAGGTCCGTAGTACTCAGGGCTGTAGACCTAGCATGGTGCCTAGCACTTGCCAGGAGCTCCAGAAAGTATTGTTAAGTGCACGGATGTTCCAATCTCCCAATGCACTAGGTGAGGACCTTGTGGAGAGAAAGGGCTGCAGAGGTGAGGCTGCCAGGTAAACAAGTAACTGAATGTCAAATGGCCAGGTGGATGGAATCCTTAAGGGAGTCAGGCTCCCTGGGGTGTGGGCTGGAATTCCCATTTAAAGGAGATATGGATTTTGTCAGGTCCACAGTCCCTACAAACTGGGCTCTTTCCTTTGCCCCTCCCCTGCGCCATTTCCTCCCTACCATTTGTTCATCAACACCTTCCCTGGCAAACCTGAAAGATGAAGGGTGGGGTGGGATTGCCAGTTTCAGCTTCTTTATCAGATAATCAAGTGACAATTTCCTTCTTGGGTGTGAGTCCCAGGGGATATTATTGGAGACATGATCAAGAAGCTTCAAAGATTGTAGCAGGAATACAAGACAATCACTGCCATGTTTTATAGTCCTCACATTTGTTCGAATCCAGGTTTGGCCCATTTCTAGTTGGGTGACCTTGAACAAGTTTCTTAACCTCTCTGTTTCAGTTTCTTCTTTTTAGAATAACCATGCTTATTTCATGGGCTTAAGTTGACTATTAGAAATGAAAAGCAGGCAAAGATCCTAGACCAGATTCTGGCATGCAGTGGTTCCCAACAAGATTGTGGTTCCTGCCCCTTCTTCTAACTCAGCCCCACCTGCTGCAATCTGCCACCATCCCTTCCCCATCAACTTGGGTGTAACAATCTCATTTCCTAAGGTCCTGATCTCTTTAGGGATGTGGGGAGGCTCCCTGCATCACTGGAGAAACCAGGTGGCCGGTTTGGTAGGGGGAGGGGAAGAAGGAGGTAGCAAGGCAGTCTGGTGGTAAACAGATGGCAGCTTATTTATCTCATCAGCACTTGATTGAGGAGGGTGGGCAGGAAAGGGTTGGGCCCTGCTGTCTAGGCAGTAACTTCCCCTCCCCTGCTTCAATTCCCCTTACAGTCTTTAAAGAAGTTAATGTTGAGATAATTACATAATTAATACAAGAATCCACCAGCCTCCATGGAAAGATGGAAACATTAGAGTTAAGATTGCATTCTATACTTTGACCCTACCTTTCCGCAGTGTGGAGCTAACACTGTTGTTATTCTTTTGGCCACGCCACCCCTGTGTGATCTCTCCCCTTCAGAAATGCCCAGACTGTATAAAGTTGAAGTTGAAATTGCCACCCAGTCCTGTCCCGTCCTAACCAATCCTGTTGGTTTTCTAGACTGTAATCTCCTATGGATCGGAATCGGAATCGACTCAATGGCACTTAACAACCACAACCATCTTAATGGGAGCAGGTCTTTCACCTGTGGGTGGGTTCAAACCACCGACCTTTTGGTTAGTAGCCCATTGCTTGACCAGGACTCCTTAACCAGTCCTGTTGTTGTTAAGTGCCTTTGAGTCAGTTCTGATTCATAGCAACCTTGCATAGGGTTTCCAAGGAGTGTCTAGTGGATTTGAACCACTGGACCTTGCAGTTAGCAGTCTAGTGCTTATCCTACAATGCTACACCAGGAGTATTAATTTTAGAAATCTTTTCAGAACCTTCCAGCAAGTGCTCTCTCCCTCCTCTGCCAATATTTATCTCATGATTCACAAGCATTTCTTGGTGGTGGTTTCTCACTAGAGAGGCCAGACCAGTAGTCTTGGACTCATATAGAGCAAACGGTGAAGTGCCCAAGCACTAGAATCAGATAGACCCTTGTTCAGGTACTTGTTTTGTGTGACCTTAGACAAGTCATTTAACCCTTTGGAGCTTTGTTTCAGCTATAAAATGCAGACAATACTAGTTCCTACTTCACAGGCTGTTGTAAGACTCAAATAGGGGTAATAGGCTCAACTCCAAAGACAATTTGATTGGGGTTGTGGCACAAATGTGTTGCGTTACTAACGGAAAGGCTGACATGTTAATACTCCCGTGGGATAAAACACTGGACCACAAGGCTGGTGGTTCAAACTCAGCAGCCACTCCTTGGAAACCCTATACAGGGTCGCTATGAGTAGAAACCGACTTGACTGCAGTTAACATTAGGCACCTTGAAGAAAAGGCCTGACCATCTACTTCCGAAACGTCATGTTGTTGTTAAGTGTTGTTGTTAAGTCGGTTCCGAGTCATAGTGACCCTGCACAGGGTTTCCGAGGCTGTAAATCTTTACTGGAGCAGAACGCCTCATCTTTCTCCCGCGGAACCGCTGGTAGTTTCGAACAGCTGACCTAGAGGTTCACAGCCCAATTCGTAACCACTATGCTACCAGAGCTCCATTGAAAATCTATGGACAGTCCTAATCGGACACACATGGGGTCACCACGAGTCTGAATCGACTAGTTTTGGTTTAGGGTTGCACATGGTTTGATGTTTTAGGAAAGATGAAGAAAAAACAACTGCCAACATCTCTCGAGGATTACCCTCTGGCAGAGCGAGTAGGCGGAAGGGGTGGAGCTGGAGCTCTCCGTCTGGTGCAGAGGGATGCGGCGGAATCGTTAAGAAGGTGTTCACTTCTCCAGAGCTAAAGGCTGCCGCGTGTGCACCTTCTGTTCCTCCCACCTTCTCTATCATTGATTAATCGCCGGCTTAATTCCATTTGTTAGAGTGTGGCGGAAAAAAGATGAAATAAAATAGCCATGTATGGACCTAACTGAGCGCCTGTCCCCACAAGCTTGGAGAGGCTGCGTGCTGCTTCCTGCGCCCCGCCCCTCCCGGTCCCGCCGCTGCTGATTGGCTCGCTCCGTGTGTCGTCACGCTGCGGGTTTTAAGGCTGAATCCCATCGCAGCTCTGCAGAAGCAGCGGTTAGGGAGCGCAGGAGGCTGTTAGGGAGGCTCACGCCGCAGCTCGCGGAGAGCGCGGCAGACGGAAGGTAAGGGGTTTTTCTGGTAGTGTCGAGAAGACCCAGTGCGGCGGGACTAGGGGAGCTGGTGATCGGAGAAATGTGTCGCGGGGCAGTGGTGAAGGGGTCGCGGCGGGAGAAGGGCGTGTCAACTCCTGGGGAGGTGGAGAGCGGGTGAGAAAAGAGTCATTGACCTCGGGTCTCTGCTCCCGCACCCTCACTCTTAATTTGATGGTGGTGGTGGGGCTGCCGGCCTACCCCTTCTGGCCGGGATTCCCGCCTGGATATTGGGGGTCGCGGCATCGCCTTTGGCGCCACGGGCTTGGAGAAGAGGCGCTGCAAGCCGACTGTCACCCCGGTGGAGACTTGGCCCCTCACTTGAGTGTTGGGGGTGGGGTGGGGGAAGGATTCCCTAGGCTTGTCAGGGACCCCAGGTAACGGGTAGCGACTCAGCACTTCTTGTTTCTGTTAACCTGCTGCCAACTTAAAACAACAACAACAAAAATCAGTTCGTGCATATTAAACGTCTCTTATTTTACCCCTGATCAGCTAACTCCGCTGTGGTCCCCAGCCTCCTCCCTGCCTCGACTGGGAGTCCCGAGAGACTTGGCTGGGGCGCACCATGGGGAACCACTTGACCGAGATGGCGCCCACCGCCTCCTTCTTGCCTCACTTCCAAGCCCTGCACGTAGTGGTCATCGGGCTGGACTCGGCTGGAAAGACCTCCCTCCTTTACCGCCTCAAGTTCAAGGAGTTTGTCCAGAGCGTCCCTACCAAAGGCTTCAACACAGAGAAGATCCGGGTGCCCCTGGGGGGATCCCGGGGCATCACCTTCCAAGTGTGGGACGTGGGGGGGCAGGAGAAGCTGCGGCCACTGTGGCGCTCTTACACGCGCAGGACTGACGGGCTAGTGTTTGTGGTGGACGCTGCCGAGGCTGAGCGCCTGGAGGAGGCCAAGGTGGAGCTTCACCGAATCAGTCGGGCCTCGGACAACCAGGGTGTGCCGGTGCTGGTGCTGGCCAACAAGCAGGACCAACCTGGGGCACTGAGCGCCGCGGAGGTGGAGAAGAGGCTGGCGGTCCGCGAGCTGGCGTCTGCCACGCTCACGCACGTGCAGGGCTGCAGCGCAGTGGATGGGCTGGGCCTGCAACCCGGCCTTGAGCGTCTGTATGAAATGATCCTCAAGAGGAAGAAGGCTGCTCGAGGCAGCAAGAAGAGACGGTGACCTGAGGCTGTGCTCTCCCCACCTAGTAGGGGTCTGCAGTGGTAGCCCTTTACCAGGGCACGGGACCTCAATGAAGGACTGAGGTGCACTGGGGGTCCAGTTTTGGTGCCACTTTGGGGGAGAGGGACGGTTGATGGGGTGTCTACCCATCTCTTCCTCATCCTCATCTCCGGAGATCTTGGAGCTGCAGGACTGTGGAGACTTAAATGTAAACACCGACTCTACCTCGACCCTGATTCTCGTTTTTTCTTCGCTGGTTTTTTCAATTGATGTTTCTGGAGGATGGAAAGTTGTTGGGAGGATGCATTTGTAATGAATGAGAACTTCCCTAGCCCGGGAGTCTCCTGGCCACTTATCTGGGGGGTACCAGTCATGATAGTCTTTATTCTTGTGTCTGACGAAGGTGCCAAGAGCCCCCCCCCCCACACATTTGTAGACTCACAGACCTTTTTATAGGCCATGTGTGCTCTCTGTTATGATGAACTATTTTTTAGTCTTGTAAGTTATTAAAGGTTGATGACACTGTACCTCTTTACCTTGGTCTGGAATTTTCCTTTCTCCTTACCTGGCCCTAGGATAGTGGAAGATTTCTCTATAGGAGGGTGGGAAAGAGAGGAATTTACCTTGAAACTGCGTTTACAAAGCAAATATTCTTCTAAGAAATTTTGATCGTGTGCATTTGGCAAGCTGTTGGACTTTTTAGAGGTTGTTGAAACCCCAAGGTATTGCTTGATCTGGGGTGGGGGTTGAGGGTTATTTGCCCTTTTGCTTTTTCCCCTTCTCTCTCTCTGGCTCTTAACTTTCCATGACACCAACTGGCCCTTGTGTATTTAATTTCACATTTTACTGATCTGAGCTGCTCTTAGGTTTACATAGGTGTGGTCTTCAAAGAGCCCTTCTGTCCCCATCTCCCTTCTTTGCCCCTAGCACTTAGGTTGGTCTGATTTCTCCCTACCCCACCCCCATTGGGGATGGAGTGGGAATGGAAAGTAATTCTTTAAGTCACCTCTGAACTCTCAACCCTGCTGATTGCAGCAACTCTGGCTGTGGTGGCAGTTAGTGGCTTGTGCTGGGGAGGCCTGGGCTGGATGAAGCCAGGCTGGCACCTCCCCTCCCCCCACTCCCCAGTGACTCAGCCAGAGTTGGCCAGTTCTGGGAACAGCAGCTTTTCCCACCAGAGGGGCAGTTCTGTTTGCTCCTGGTGGCTGTAAAGACTGCTGGACACCTACTCCCCAACCTCTGGGAGAGGAGAGGGAGGATATAGACCAGGCTGCTAGCAGTGAAAGAACAAATACCAGCATTAAGAGGGCCTGAGTGCCCCCTCCCCACCAGGGCCAGCTGTGTCTGAGATAACAGAACAATTAAGACTCTCCTAGGAATCCTGGTGTGGCTCTGTGGGTTAATGCATCAGACTGCAAGGTTGGTGGTTCAAGCTCACCAGCTGTTCCTTGGAAACCCTACACAGGGTCGCTATGGGTCTGGTCGGAATTGACTCCACAGCACTCAACAAGAATCTGCCTGAGTGGAGTCCTGGGTGGAGTCCTGGTGTAACTGCTGTAGAATAAACACTGGACTGAAAGGTCAATTTGAATTGCAAGGACAGTGGTTCTAACTTGCCAGCCACTCAGAAACCCTATACAGGGTTGCTATGAGTTGGAACCGACTTGATGGCACTTAACAATAACAATCTTCATAAGTGGAAGAAGAGAGTGAAAACAAAGCATAGACTACTATAACACCCCTCCCCCTGCCCCCCTCCAGTCCAATCCCTCAGTGCAAACACAGAATCCCTGGAGTCCCTGCTGCAAAGCCAGATACAAGAACCTGGAAGGCATCCCTAAGGAATGTGTGTCCTCAAAAAATCCTCACTCACTGCCATGGAGTCGGTTCTGACTTTCTGACCCATAGCAACCCTGTATAGGATTTCTGAGGCTGTAAATATCTACAGCAACAGAAAGCCTCATCTTTCTCTCTCTGAGCGGCTGGTCTGAACTGCCAACTTTGTAGTCAGCAGTCCAGTGCTTATCTTACAGTGCCAGCGGGGCTCCTTAATAGTTGTTCCTAAACCGTGGGCTGACAGGCCCTGAGTTGTCCTGCTAAGTCTTGTCCAGTTCAGATTTGAGGTGGGTGTGCGTCTCTCTGGAACAGTGTGTGAGTGTACCTCAGCTGCTGGGCTGGTTCTTCTGGAACATATGCTACCTGTTCCACCCCCACCTCCCCCCATACACTTGTGACTCAGCTTTCCCAGTCCTCTGGGCAGTCTTTTGCAGCCCAGGAAAATGCCAAGGCCAGCCCTAGGCTGGGGAGGCCCTGGCCAAAAGACCCTCTGTCCTGCCAGGAAACCTTTCCTCTCCTCCAATTCTATGCATTTGTCTCACAATCCCCATGGACATGTTTTCTTCATTTTGGTCCCCTGGGGGCTGAGGTGTGGATTTGGCAGGTGGATGTGTGGGCCTCCTGGCTGTCCACTGCCTTCTTACTTCTACTTGCAGAGGGGTCTCCAAGGTGCGTGACTCACGTTAGAACAGGCTTCTTTTGGCAGGAGCCTGGGGTCCACAGTAGGTCTGTGACTATTCCAGGCTTTCCAGCTATCCTTGTCGGTGGGGTGGGAGGGGCTGGTGGCAGATGACGTGAAATATGGATAGCAAGTTGCCCTGCAGGGATGGTTAGAGAAGGGAATGGGTGGGTTTGGGGATTCTAATTAGAAAGTCACATTTCTGACTGAGTGGAGGTCTGGGAGCTTTGCAGTAATCCTCCAGCCTTGATCCATCAAAGGGACTGGAGAGCTGGGAGGGAGGGGCCACCTTAGTTATCTGTGGGGTTTAGGGTCTTGATCCAGGGAATCTACATTTTGAGCTCTGGGCCAGTCACAGCTCAGGAATGAGAGTGGAATGAGGTGTGGGCAGGTTCTAATTCTCTGGTTCCTGATTTTCAATCAAGTTGAATTTCTTCTGGACCCTGAGAAGAGTGCTGAGGAGAGGTTCCCAGGGCCCAGAGGGTCTCCCGGGGCCAAGAGTGGTGGTCAGGAGCTAGAAGCCTGTAAGGTGAGGTTGGAGGAAACCAGAAGCTATGGGCCCAGAGTTCAGGCTCCCTGCTGAGACATCCACCCACCCCCACCCTTGCCTCAGTCATATGTAATCCTTGTACAGATAGTAATTTTCGGTGTGCCTTTCCCTTCTCTGAGCCTCTCCTCAGGAAAAAGATGGCAGGTCCCCCGACCCACAGCTCAGGACTCATAAACAAACGTCAATAAAAGTCCATTTCCCAGTTTTCCATGACTTCTCAAGTCCTCCCCTTTCTTACGTGCTCAAGATGAGTGGGAAGAACAAGGAATGAAGTTCTTAAGGCTCAGAAGAACAGGGCCTGGTCCAAGAACACATAGCTACTTAGTGGAGTCTCCAGATCCTTCCTCCCAGGCCAGATAGGAGACTTGAGCCTGTTCAGCATCTCTGAGCTCGGACTTCTCCCTTTCTCCTTCCCTCCCCTTGATTAGATAAGGACACAGTTTTGCTCCCCCATTCTCTTCCTGGGTAGTGGCAGCTTTATCATCAAAGTCCAGCAGAGCTCTGGCCTCCAATCTGACCAGAAGTTCCCAACCTCCCTCCACTTTGATCATGTGTCATCCCTAGTCTCCCTTTTTTACTTACATATTTATTTTTTAATAACGTTTTATTTCTGCGGACATATCACCCTAAGTGTGTTCATTCTTGTCTGAGCTTACAATAATGTTTTATTTTGTTTTAAGTGAAAGTTTACAAAGCGAATTAGGTTCCCATTGAACTGTTTTTATACAAATTGTTCTATGACTTTAGTTACATTTTTTTTTTTTTACAATGTGTCAGTATTCTCATTATTTCCATTAACTTTCCTGTCCCTCGTATCTTCCCATCTTTGCTTTAGGATAAAAGTTGTCTGTTTGATTATTTAAGTGAACACAGAACTTCTGGATTCTAGTTACCTTATAAACCAGTGTATCATTTGGATGAACGGTGACTTCCAGGAGTGACTTTGATTCCCAGTAAAAAGAGTATTTTAGGCGATAGTCTTGGGGTTCCTCTAGTCTAGTACATCGGTTCAGTAAGTCTGGTTTGTTTTTTTTTAAGGAATTTGAGTTTTGCTCTATATTTTTCTCTCATTCTATCCAGGACCTTCTATTTTGTCCCTGGTCAGAATGGTCAGAAGTGGTAGCGTCACCCAAGGACTTTTTTTTTTTTTTTAAACTTTTTATTGTGAATTGGGTGAAGGTTTACAGGACAAGAGTCTTTCTTGAGATGACCACCTCCACCTGGCTCTGGACAGTATTGGGTTCCCATGAAGCACATCTCCTATTCTCCCAGGTGAGCCTGGAGGGGTGGGGCTCAGTGAAGACAGCAAGGGAGGCCCAGGCCAGGATTCACTGTGGGGGTGGTTAGTCTGTGGCCATATATCATTTTCAAGGTCACATGCAGGGCCACACTGCTCTGCTTGCTGGGGACCTTGTGGGTAGATAACATGGTTTGTTTTCCACTGTCTGTGTGGGAGGAGGGGCTTATGAGATTTCTTCTGTCTTTCTTTTTCTAAACATTTAAAAAAAAAAAAATTTTTTTTTTTAAACTGTTCTCTTGATTAGAAAAGCAATCGGCCTAACCCTGTGAATAGCCTTTTGTGTATTCTTCCAGATTTTTTGCCCCCCCTGCATATATAAAAGACATGTCTGGTAAAGACAGGATTCTATAATGTACTTGTTGGATAGTTTTGTTTTTCTCGTATGTATCTTATACATTATTTGTTGCCAGGACATATAGATTTTTTTTTTTTTTTCATTCTTTTTGATGACTATACAAGCTTCTATTTTATGATGTACCATAATTTTTAAATTAAATCCTCTACTAACGAACTCTTCTATTGTCCACAATTGTTCTTCTCTTACAAACAGGGCAGTACAAAACCTGGCACATATTTCTTGGTATATTTCTGGTAAGATAAATTCCTAGAAGTGCAAGTATTGTTAAAGGGTGTTG